AATACATCCGGTTACTTCTTGAGATGCTGCAAACCAGTATTAATACAAAATTCCTAACTATTCAATGCGTCATTCAAAACAAATTCGTGATATTTTTTAATGATATAATTTTTAATTAATTTTTAAATTTTATGAATGTCATCCGTAAAAAAACATCACTTTTAAATATAATCTTTATTTTATGATTGTATATAAAATTTAAAGTTTTAGCTAATCTATTGAAGGTGTATTGTTATTCCCCACACGGAAATTATGTAACTTAATTATGCCTTAATGACTTTGTTATTTAAGTTATACATAGTATGAATAATGTTAATTAAAAAGATAGAAAAGTTATACGAGGATAAACATAAGTATTTATTTCTTATAATTTCAATCATACGTTTAAATAAAAATATATTTTCATTTAGGTATATATTCTCATACTTATATATATTTTTAAAAGTCACTACGAAATGATTGACATTTTCAAGAATTCATATTATGTGTGTGCGTCACAAGCATGGTAGATGTGTAGTATTTATTGTATTTAATTCAAAAACTGTTTAATGATTTAAAAAAATGTAGCTTTTTTAACATCCATAGAAACTTTGATTGTGTTAAAATTCACTTTCATCCATTTGCGTAAGTCTCTATAAAAGTATAAAGTTTTCACTTCACGTCTTATAGATTAATGCTAACATGACACTATCATTTCGTCTTTTCTAAGGACGGGAAGTATCGGAAAAGTCAGTTTATCCGAAACTATAATGTTACTAGCTGACCCGGGGAACTTCGTACCGCCCTATTAGGAAATATCTGTTACCTTTTTGTCTGAAAGAAGTTAATTAGTTTCATTTTTTTCTTTGCTTTAATGGCAACTACGTGAATATTATTGCCAGTGACACATTATTTTATTAAAAAAAGTGAAATATTCTAGTAATTTTCGTAATTTTTTTTTAGATAACTACCTTCTCCTAATAATAACTAATACAACAAAAAAAGGATTAGTGAAATCGGTCCAACTATCCACGCGTGATGCCGTGACCAAGGGAAAAAGAGACTCATTTATATATATATATATATATGTATATATATAAATATATATATATATATAGATTGAAGTACATTACATTACCTTTAATGTTAACTCAGATTCCGCGACCATGTATTTAAAACATAACTCTTTCCTATGTACATACTAGGTTGTACCTATTATTTTATGTTACTTTACATCTAATTCAAAATGAAATTTGGCAACAATTGGTATTTACCACAAAATTACTTTGACCTGACCTACTTGGACTACCATAAATCATAATATATAAAAAAAATATTATGCAATAAAAAAAACATTTATAAAAAATGTTAAAAAGCAATCCCCTTTAACAATTAAAAATCTTTATCCTCATAGGATTATATATTTCAAAAAAATCGATACCTTTTCATTTTGTAATTTCTATCGTTTTTTTATATACTTATGTAGATTTATTCTTTAATTCACTTTTTTATGATTTATGACGGACTTCAAGCGTCGGCAACACTTTTATTGCGTCTTCATTATGCTTCTTGAGATATTGCTTCACAAAGTATATATTTATTGCAATATGTTTCAAACGACTTAGTCGTACAATTTCTAATATATAATGAAACGTCACCCTTATTTTTGGATTGCAGCGGTGAAATAGTCTAATATAAATAAATACAAAATTAACCCGCTAGCTGAAGTAACCGTTGCGGTTTTACCACGAGTAGGTATTTCCACCTGTTATTTCTTGTGACTCATTCACTATTTACACCTTTTTTTAAATCATTATATAAATCTGTTAAGTAATATTTTGAAATATATTACAATTTTTTTTTTGATTTTGATTATGTGTTGTAAATGTGGCAGTTTATTTCGTATTACTTTTTTATTGTATTTAAATTATAGAATATTTTGCCAGTATGCCAATAATACCTGAGTAGAAGTAATTGCATGAGATATCTTTTAAAACGGTACTTTCCCTCCTGTTAGAGTTAAAATTATAAAACAGGTCAGAATTCCGACCGAGACAAAATATTTAAAAGACATTAAGGCATAAATAATAATACTGTATATTATTTATAAATATTTTTATATATTTTGGAAGTAGTATTGGAAATCATCATCATTCTATTAGAGCCCACTGCTGAGCAAAGGCATCTTCTCACATGGCAAGGTTTGAGTATTAATCACCACGCTTGCTCAAGACGGGTTGGTGATTTAAAACTTTATAATTTCAAATTATTAGTCCAGGTTTCATTACGATGTTTTCCTTCACCGTCTGTCAGTGGTGTCTAAATACTCTTAGAAAGTACATATATATGACTTGGAAAAATCACATGCATGAGTGATGAGAGGCGGGCCTTTAACTTTTAACACCACAACCTTTATTCGAAAATAATCTTTTTATATTTTATAAGTTTTGCGAATAATTAAATATTAGGTTGTATTGAAGAAGCTATCAATTGAGGAAAATACAATCGATACCAGCTCATTACAGTCTTTGTTAGTTTTTTACAACGTATCATAAGATCAAAAATTCTTAGAAATCTTCTATATATATAAAAATGGATTGCTGTTCCTTAGTCTCACTAAAACTCGAGAACAGCTGAACGGGTTTATCTTATCTTAGTCTTGAAATGTTCGTGGAGGTTCAGGGAAGGTATAAAAGCTGAAAAAAATTGATTCATTACTGGGAAAACCATAAAAACAACCCTTTTCTATTTCCCATACAAACTTTTTTTTGACATTAGATTTGACAACTAACTAATATGTCAATCATTCTGTCGCACTTCAAAACACGGAGATTTATGGCTTACAGGTAAACTCCAAAAATATAAATAAAAAAACGTAATAGATATTTCTTGATTATAGGGCGATACGAAGTTCGCCAGGTTTTCTAGTATACGATAAAATTATTGGAAATTCAACTTGAACAGAATTACATTTAAGGATTGTATATTTGTGTTTCTTTTAAATTTGAAATCAAAATTTTAACAACTTTTATTTTATAAGCGTTCAATAAGTTGTGATAGCCATGAGTAAAATTATTTATTCAAAATTAATTTACATGAAATTGAGGTGTTTTAGGTATACTCTAAAGAAAAGAAGGAGAAGTTGTTTCCAAAAAAGAAGTTAGTCCTCCTACATAGGCGAAACTAAAATAATGTAAAGGATATATACTAAAACATTCAATAAAGGAGCCTGAGGTTGTTGAACCTTCCTAATAACCGGGAATCCCAGAGGACCAGTTTCATTCCTTGACTTAAATAAACCGTAATAAAATAAAGCCTTAAATCCACATCACATCTCGATTTGTTTTCAATAAAATTTCTCTATAAAAACTTAGATCTTTTAAATTCATTTTATATTTAACGTATCATTTTTTTCATGTAACACATTCACAAGTCTAGTTGCTTTATCATGAAGATCATGTATTATCATGTTAATAATAAGTTTTTGAGGTATTCCTAAGTAAAAATTCTGTGCTCTTACCATAAGTTTGCATCGACACAGTAAATACTAACAGTTTCTAGTTTTCCATCATAAGTATTTGTTTGAATAAATCGAATTGTTTGTTTAATACATATATTGATAAGATTGTAAATATAAATACATATATTTTAATAAATACCAGAATATTTAATAAGTACCTATATTTTTAATTTAAAGCCACGGGACTTTACCTCTTTACCAAGTGATTTTATAATACATCAGTTTTTAAAAACTTAATATAAAATTAATGACGTCATAAAAGGCATGTTAAAGGTCATCGTACGTAGTCTGTAGTCATCTTCCTAACACGCAGTTATGTATCAATATCTTTACATTGTCTACTCACATCATAGTGTTTTAATGTATGTATAATAAAGATTTCTTTTGCTTTAAATTTACGTATTGTTACATTCTGGACATGTAAAACTACTTAAATAGTTATCATAACCTAAAATTTTCTTAAGATATTTTCAATCGTAATTTATTATTTAAATGTTTCTTTTTTTTTCTTGTTGTTCCTTTCCTGTTTTTAATGCGAATAATCGTCTAATGAACGCAAAACTACGAAGACACGGAACGCGTACAGATAGATATAAGGATGTAATCTGAGGCTGTGTATCGATAAATATTTATCGTTTTGTTTCCATACATATTTTTTCATTTAAAATCAATAAAAAATTAATAACAAATTATTAAACAATTATTACCTTCATTCAAATCTTTTTAACCCATAATATTTATTCCTACAACAAAGGAAGTCATAACAATTAAACGTAATTACTTACATATTTTTTGTTTAATATTATTCAATTTAAACACTTTTTTATATTTTAGACAAATTAGAACATCGAAGTTTTGAAGCAGCTATGAATGGCGCTTTGAGTAGTTTATATTTAATTAGAAAATGTAAACGGGTCACACACAAAAATCGTTTAAACGTTATGTATTTTAGAAGGATTATTTTTTAACTATTCCAAAATAAATATTTGATTTTACATACCATTTTTTAATTTTTTTAATATAAAATTTTAGACGCGAATTTCAATTAAAAAGCTTTGTATTAAAGTAATTAAAATGTTCTAATAATCTTTTCTGATGAAGTACTGTTAAAACAATGTCAAACATGTTAAAACAGAGATGTCTGAGCTGTATGTGCTCTGAACCTTACACACACACACTCTTACATTAATTAGAAAAATGACTTATATACTTATGTAAATATAAGAGTCTTCCTACAAAAGAATTTTCTGCATATATTACAAAATTAATTAACTGGTTATTTTAAGTTAATTACACGTTCAAGGCCTCAAACGCAATCTACTTTTTCTCAGAAATCTGTGAGATACATTAAATTCAATAATAAAATTATAAGAACTTCAAACCATATCGATGTTTTGTATTGTTATATATGTATAATATGAGGATGCAACACTAGCGAAGACGCTACATTCATTCGTGTATAGAGACTAGAGCAGACGTATGTTCTGTTGAATCATAAAAAATGTCTGCTAAACTCATAGTTACATTGTTTTACGTGCAGTATATATTTATAACGAGTAAGTAATTGTGTTTTGTGTTGAAAGTAGTTTCGTGATATTTTAAAATGCAAGTGAATATAATGTTGTGTTTAATTTTAAGATTGCCAAGAAGTTGCGAAGTTCTTCCGCAAAGACTACGACTACATTGATAGCACAAAGTCTTTTTACAAAATCCATACCATACATCGAACTTGGGAAGATGCTAAGGAAATGTGTGACTTCGAAGGGACCACGTTGTTTTATCCATACGATGAAGATGAAGCCAGAGCAGTCATAAATTACTGGAACCAGACGCAACCGTTTTCGTGGATATTTATAGGTGTATCGACACCCAATGTTAGGGAAGTTTTTGAAACGGTAGACGGTAAGTTAGCCATTACTTTAATTAGGATTTTTAATGAAAACTCACTTTATAATATGAATAAATATACCAAGAAATGCTCGCGCTGCCATCATAATAAAATAGCAATTTAATAACTCTATGATATTGCCTATATAACAGTTCAAATGTTGAATCGAATGATATAGTGTTTTTTATTAATGAAACCAGTATTTTAGAGGTAATCTTGAAGTGTTCATCTTCATATGTTGGAGGTCAAAGTTAGTAGCAAATATCATGAATATAATTAGATTGGATTGGATTTATTTTCCTTAAAGTATAATTGATCAATTGTTGAATAAGTCATATATTTCACGTCGTGATTGTTATAAGAAATCATACACGCGTAATAGACGGTACTAACAATTATAATTCCATCAAATCGCCATAAATATCAAATAGTTAAATTTTAGTTTTGAGTATAATTTACGCTAAATAATTATTTTTCCGTTTATCAATATTCTTAGCATTTCTATTATTTATTCTTAGCATTTCTATCATTTATTTTTCAAAATCACATCCTTCTATCCAATTACTAAACGTTTGCCCGTAACTGAAAATTGTGACAAACTTGAATTGCATCTTGTTTCTTGTATTGAGAAAAGCTTGGAGGGTTGATGTGAGCGTTTAATTCGCGATAGATGGGGGACCCATTAAACCTTCACCTTTTTTCTGATGACGCAAAGAATCTCTTCTTACGAGCCGTCCAACCGGCCTTGTAAGGGACGTGTGAGACTTTGTCTGGGCAGGCCCCTACTTACTAAAAGCACTGCGAAAGCCATCGGCCGCTATGTCGGTGTACCCCGTAATTGTCAGCAACACGGCACACCAGTGACTGGCCAGTCGTGGCAAAGACCGGAGCTACTCTTTTGGAGTGTGGACCCGGAACACAGGGGTGCTATTGGAAGCGTTGAAATTGCCTCCGTCGCACCCTCGTATGTCCTCTGCGGAGGGAGGGTGTATCATCCCCATCCTCCCTTTACCGCTCAGATGCCTCCTTCGAGGACATGACCGTTTCACAGAAGGAGGTCACCGCCAGCCAGGACCTATCACTCTCGAGCATCTTCTCCGCGATTCTCGAAAGCGACAAGTCCACTCCGCTGAGGTCCGCTCCACGAGGCCTTGGCGCTGCTCAGCCGGCACACGCTGATCTCGGGCACACCTCGAGGGTGTGTTTGGAAGAGTCCACCGCAGCGCCGCACTCATGGCAGCCTTCTCCCAGCCCTCTCCTGACCGTTCGACACAAGTAGTACCCCCTAATAACCCTCACCTCAGGAGCCGTTTGCACAGAGCGCAGTAGAGCTTTGGTCCTGCGGCTCATTGGTCGACCAACCCCAATGGGTACACCGTACGTGGCTATACTCCTAGACCATACTCCTAGGCTCGGGAGGAATTTTCCCAGCGCACCTGCCATCCTCATGACCTTCGGCCCCAACTCCCTGAACTGGGGAACGTAGGTGCACCCTCCGACAAGTGCAAATTTGTATATTTTATAGGAATTTTTATGTTTCAGGTTTATCTATATCTCAAGTATATGACGCTTGGGGCCGGGGGGAACCTAACAACGCCGGCGGGATCGAAGGTTGTGTAGTTTTGAGAAAGGACGGCACTCTCAATGATGATCAGTGTACCAAAAAATTGCCATTCATTTGTAAGAAAACGTTAAGTACTTTGGAATGGAACATGCTCTGTGATTTACCTGATATGGGTAAGTACCTTACATTAAAGCCTATCAAATATTTTTTCATAAGTTCTAACAGCAATTGAAACTTTTTTATTCTTATTATGAGGAAAAAAATGATTACAAAGACTTCATATTATTGCTAAGAAAATTAATTTAATTTCGTCACACTTCTTTTGGTCACCTACCTAATAATAATAATAGACTTTGTTGGAAAATAAAGACTTTTGTTACTAATATTCTTTTAAACTATTTTTTTATTTTAGGATACGAATACAATGAACTAGGGAGATGCTATAAATTCCACTTAAACCCTCGCAGTTGGCACGACGCCTTTAGAATCTGTGATGCAGAACAATCGTATCTCGCAATAATAAATTCAGATGCAGAAGCAAATGTTTTGGTTAATATCACAAAAAACACTCCAAAGGACGACGTCGAAGACACAAATTACCTGAATGGAGCCGTTCATTTAGGATTTAAATTTAATCACATTTGGAAAACAATCAAACGTAAGTAAAATCTTAATTTATAACAAATTCTTTTCATCTGACTCTTTATTTTGAAATCTAGAAGAAACACAAAACAAACCAATTACTGATTCCTAACCATCTTTTAAACCTAATATGTAACTTGTACAATCAAACGTAAGTAAAATCTTAATTTATAACAAATTCTTTTCATCTGACTCTTTATTTTGAAATCTAGAAGAAACACAAAACAAACCAATTACTGATTCCTAACCATCTTTTAAACCTAATATGTAACTTGTCTGCAAACTCATTTTCTTGTAGATAAGAGTTTCAAAACCATTTATAATATTATCTCTCTCAATCGAAAAATTTAATCCCTATGTAATATTATAATATACAGGGTGACTGCTGAATTATTATACATCGATACTTGAGGACGTGATATTTGACGATCATATATGACAAAATAAAAATGAATATAACATAAATATTAATAAACTTCTAAGTAAAGTTAACCAAAAGTTATGTAATTAATTACGCATCGTGTGAACACCCTACAGATTAGGTATACACACACACACACGCGTGCGGCGGCGTGCTGATATAACACCACGCCGCCGCACGCGTCCACACTTGGAACGCTTGGAACGTGTCCACACTTTATTTATTTATACGGAAATTTGGTCAAAAATGAAGTACCTATTTTTTTTACATAATTCGAATGAGAATCATGTACCGAGTATTCTCCTTAAATATTGATAGTAATTCACCAGTCACCCTGTATAATTTAGGAAAATATTAATAAACATTTATTTCTCAGATGAATCGTTAAGACGGAGCGGGTATACCAAATGGGGAGTGGGTCAGCCGGATGGAAAGGGTAAAGAAACATGTGGCTCGATGTTCTTCAATGGAAAACTGAATGACATATCCTGTGACCAAAGATGTTTCTTTATTTGTGAACACGAACCCGCCATCTTAACGACGGAATACGACTTCAGGTTTGGTCGCCCTAATTAGTCGTCAGCTATTGGAAGTTTTATTACTAGATAAGCTCAAAAATACTCAAATTTAGTGATAATTTAAATATATATAAGTGGTTAATTATATAACAAAAAATGTACTTGATGTTGAATAATGGATTAATTTTAAACAAAGCAATCTTAAAAGATAAAAAAGTATTCATAAAAACATTGCCATATTCGAAAAATAAATAGTCATTTATATTTATAACATGACTATGTGTAGTAAAATAAACATAACATGAATAGTTGTTAATATTGTGTTTTGAACATTTAAATTAAAGAATGAATTACATGAAATATTTCAATTATTTGTATTTTTATTTGAAATTTGTTTCAGTAAACTATACTAAATGCATGAAGTATTGTGACAAAAATAAAAGGTCGCTCCCCAATCAATAAGCTGTCAGATAACCCTTGCACTTGCAATCTTTGTTATCACTTACACGTTATGTACCTACTTACAACAATCTCTAAAGGTTATAAATCAGCTTTATAATAGACAACATATAAACAAATTTGAGAATAATAAGGAGATATGATTTTATGTGAACGTAATTTAAATAAAAGTGACAATTTATCAACGTTTTTGATAGCATAAAATCCTTATATTGTGTGACGTTAATCATCTCGGAACACCGCCTTTCCGACGAAAGGCAGATACCTCACGAATGGCCCACAGTAACTCAGAATTTCACGAACAGGTTCAAATAATAGAACCATCCAGTATCCCAATAATAAATAGAAGAATACAGTAGCAAGACAATTCAAAACGAATAACAATAAACGAAAAATCATCATACTCCATAGAGAATGTAAAATTCCTAAAAAAATAACATATATTTTCAATAATAGTCATTTATAAATTTTATTATGTAAACAAGCTTTACATAAACAATGATTTTTTTATTTATTATTCAACTTAACTTGAAATAACACATAACATTCACATATTATTTTGTAGTTTTGCTTTCGGGAGATTTTCTAACTTTTCCTTCAAACAATACAGTTTGCCGCCTATCATACAACTTTCTATGTATGAACCGATTTTGATAATTTTTAAATCCATTGGGAAAGTTGTGAAGTCTGCTCCGTGTAACTTTTTCGCCAAATCTTTGAAGTTGTTTGTGTTGAACCACCATTCTCTCGTTGTAAAATACTGTAGAACTTCAAGTCCGACAGAAATTCGCTTCTGTGTACAAACCATGCTGAAAGAAAAAACGATAGTACATTACATAAAAAACTATTTATTCACTTTATTATAATAACTAAATACAATTTTTTTTAAAATGATTAGTAAATTGAGGACTGTGAAGTGACAAACTGTATTTTGTTTTAGGAAATAGACATACTAAGCTGTTGGAGTGTAGCTTGTAGCTTGGGATGGATATGTTTAAATAGCTAATTATAAGGAAGTAATACTCAAATAACTAACAATCTCTGCTGGTCAAAGATAAGCATCAGGAAGTCTATTAGATACGCGGGAACAATGTGATAGAAGAAGACACAGAGCTCGTGAATCAGCTTGCTGTGTCGTATGTTCCCATCTGGATACCATAATGGCATTTCGAAAGGATATTTTCTGACCGTCGCACTGTGGGAATATCGCGTATGTTCGTCTCAAAACTCGTTTTTCTCACTTATTTCAAAATTGAATGATCTATAATTTTGCACACATATACGTGAAAGTATGTATAAGGCTTAAAAAAATTAAAAATTATGTTTATTAATTTATTTAAAAAATAAATATAAATATATTTAAATATGTTTTGGCACTATATCAGAAAATTCGCAAATATGCCCAACTTTTTTTTTTCTCCTTGTGTAAACTAATGTATATATAAAGATCGTAATAAAACAAATATCTCGACAGCGGTAAACAGCGGTAAACGGGTAAGTCTCATTAAAAAAAAGAAACCCGAAATTATACCATCTTGAACTATATTGGTTAATTTTAATTAACTTAATTATTATACATAATATTATTTAGTAAACGTTATAAGGAGATTATAAGCATTTCAAAATTGTATAACACTTATAAATTTATATCAAAAACTTTCGAGTGATGTGGCATTGAATTTTAATAATTTATTGTGCAAAATCTTATCATTGAACATGAGTTAGTTTTGCCTTTTTATATACACTATTATGGTTAGCAAAAACTTATTTAAAATATATAAAAGAAAGCTTATTTATAAGACTAAATTAATTAAATATGTAGTTTTACTCCATAACAACGACTTTCATGTGAAGGGGTTTTGAGACGGCCTTGTATGGGGCTTTCCCACTGTTCGTCGCCTTTCCAAAGTCGAGAACCTCTTTTCTTTCCACGTATTGTTCCTATCGTCACCTGTAGTTAGATTGAACACAGGTATTTCTTGTGACCTGTAATATATTTAGTTAAAATTATTATTAGGAATAGTTTATTTTAAGATCTAATGTTTGTGTAGCTTTAATTTTAGACAATAAATGTATAGCGATCATAGAAAATGTATGACAAATAAAACTTAATTTAAGCCAACTGATAACTCGATGTGTTTTTAACTAAATACAGCGGTTTCTAGCCTTGACCGATGCTGCGGCTTGATTGATTGCCATCTTGTTTAAAATACATTAAGGAACTTCGTTCGGATTTTTAAAAATAAAATAACAGTAAGGCATTTGACAATTTGACTATGCGATATTAATTAAAATGAACAAATATAAAAGGTAAATAAAGGAATGAAATGATAACCTGCTAACTCCAGTTAAACAACAATTAAAGTACTTACAGAGTAATATCCTTAAAATAGCCTTAGACTAATTGCTAAACCAATATTAATAGTCGAAAACCCATGAGCGATGTTGCCTCGACGACGGACCACCAGAAAGTGGAGATGTTTCTTTTTGCGCACTGCTTCTATTTTGTTTCTTTTCCAAGGAGTTCCTAACTCGGCTTCTATTTTGTTTCTTGACCAAGGAGTTTCCTAACTCGGCCTCTCCTGACTCTTGGTCGTCCTCGGCCACATTCTCTCTGTTTTTCAGTAGTAGCCTCGCCTACTGCGCCACCTTCCCGATCTTCGTCTTCAAGGTTTGGCATAGACGATCCGGCCGAAGCACCTTTAACATTGTCATCCTGAATTTTGAAATAACATCACCATTACTATCGGAAACATTATTGTTTGGATGACTGTAGTGTCCAAATGGTTTTCAAATAAACAAAGTAATGTAAGCTAAACGGCATCCAAGACAGATAAAGTGAAAATAAAGAAAAAGGTGTGAAATCGACGGTATCCCAACAATTTCACATCCCCACAGTACATTACCATTGTCGGGTGACTCACGCCTTTGAAGGGCTACCAACACCATAGAAGTGCAGCTCATGCCAATGCGACTCACGCAATCGGCAACTTCCATCACTGGCGGCTCCCGGCAGTGGCGACTCCCGTCAGTGGCGACTCTCGTCAGTGGCGACCAACGCTGATGGCGGCTGATGCAACTGAGGACAAACGTTAAGGGCGACTAACGCCCGTGCGACTAACGCACATGACGACACACGTCAAAGGCGACTAACGCCAAGGCGACAAACGCCAATGCGACTAACGCAACTGACGACACACGTCAAAGGCGACTAACGCCAAGGCGACAAACGCCAATGCGACTAACGCAACTGACGACACACGTCAAAGGCGACTAACGCCAAGGCGACAAACGCCAGTAGTGATGAGTAGACTTGCGTCTTGAACTCCCACCCGGCAGCAGGTCAATGAGACGCCTGCGGTGTCTCGAACCTCCACCAGCTGCAGGCCAGCGGGATGTCCCCGTCTCGACAAGTGACGTCTCGCGAAACTTGTCACCACTGCTTCTGAGAACAGTCGTTAAAAGAAAATGAGCAAAGTGACAAAACAGTTCAAAAATTTCACCATCGAATACTATAGCACCAGTATCTGGGCACCATTCTAAATTCCATGGCATCACACGTTGAGTGGTTGGTTGAGCTGATTTAAGAGCATTACATTACATTGGATTACAATTTTAAACTGGATGCCAACTAGATTGTGGTGGAAATATTTTAAGGCCCTGACCTTATTTCACTATTGTAATTAATCTCTATTTCATGTACCGCGATCATACACGAATGCGGGATTACGCGCCCCAATACGAAAAATATGTCGTACTCGTAACGAATTTTCTCAGGTTGATATTCTACGTCATAACTCTGCCGCGTTTCACAGCAAGTTGCGGGACGTATTATTGAAAAAAGAATAAACCACCTAGCAGTCCTGTTTTTCATTTACATTGACTGGGAATTTAGTTTAGTTTGTTTTTAAGTATTGGATATTCTCTGCACATTCGCCATCGCTCCCTTCACATACTAGATTAGGTTTACACATCGCCTTTCAAATTTATTTATTAGTGAGGTACGTACCCAAGCATCCTCTCATTTTTACTTAGTTATATTTCTTGGTGAGAAATGTTTGAGGACACAGGTATTTTGTCTTTAATATGCTGTATTGTTGTTTATATTTGTTTTGTTATACTCCTGTGATCTGTTTTTTTCTCCAATAAACAAAATAAAATAAAAAATAAAATTGCAGATGAGTTCATGTAATGATGTAATTGCAGAGCCTCCTCCTTTCTAGCGCTCGGGCTAACCTGACCACCACTTATATGTCTGTCTAAGTTCTCAAATTCGGTATTCAGAAACGAGTATTTTATTTTAATATTGATCGAAAAAAATAGAATTCTACCTTTACCTTTTTTAGCATTAAAATTCAGAAGAAGTACTTTGTTGATATAAACGAGCAAGTCATCAGAATCAATGAATTCCCGAAGCATATCATTAATTGATAATAGGTTTGTAAACAATAGATGAGTTTGTCAAACCATATGGCATCTTTCAGTATTCGTAGTTCCCTCCTGACGCGGACGTAACGAAGCCTGTGTAGTGAATACAGTCGTCCCTGATTCTCATTTCATGAAGTCGCCATATCAGGGCCGGTGACGAAGTTATGTCATCCTAAAAAAATTAATTTAATGGTCAATAAATGAAAACGGATATCTTTCCTTCTCTGTATTGCGAATAAGTACTCGAAAATCTTTTTCGTCACTGAAGTTATTGAGCTGGCATATTGGGATCGAGATTCCCTAATGATGCCTTTATGTAAGAGATCCTTCATTATTTCGCTAACTTGTACCATCTTCCTGTAAAATAAATTGTATGGGCGACAAGTTATTGGAATTGAACTAGTAAGTTTGATATTCATCTCACCTATACTGTACTGTAGTGGCAGCGGTACACAAGAAAATCCGAGAAAGGCGACAATACAAACATTGGTAATTCCAGATTACTTCCTGGCAGAGGGATTTTATATAAAGAGTTTTCGGTGGCTAGTACTTGATTAACCTGACTGATCCCAGCGAGTGATATACTGTTGTTGTTACTCTTACATACATTACTCCAACACGATTCAAAACATCTGTCGCTATTCATGCAGGCTGACGGTACTACTACTAGATCTTAAAATGAAATATTGCTGAATTCAATAGTTACTGTGTTGTGAGGAGTGGCAAAGGTTTCGTATTCATTAACGTCTCGTAATGTACGTCGTATACTTGGATTGGCAAGAAAGTAATTTAATAAGGTCAGAAGAAATCAGTGATATAATGTGATCACCAATATTGATAAATATGTTAATCGGTATGCACTATTAACTGCAGGAACCACATCGATATTTCTCACCAGCTTCGGTTAACATATACTTACATTTTGGTAGTTAGTTAATCTTGACCTATTCTTGACAAAACATGCGTCTTCACAGTGTCCTGTACTTTTAATAAATGCGCGTATTAAGACGACTTAGCAGCGGGATTATCATTTTATTCTGAAAGTTGTTAATGTTGGTTTGTTTATTATTACAATTCCAAGTTCTGCAGATAAATCCTTAACCAATCGTAAACGTTATAATGTACGTCTCACATTCCCAGCGTATGTCGTATATTAGTTGTATGTCGTGTTCATACATGCAAAGGAAATGTTAGCGGAGTCCAACTTCTGAGAACAGAGAGGTCTTAAATGAGTTTTAAAAATATCCATGTACGACCATTTGTGACCTATAAATTTAGTTATGTTTTGGCGTCGGCTTTTAAATAAGATGCTTCCCGGGAAAAACACTCATGATCTTCCACTGTCCACTATCATTGCGCGATCTACCTCTAGACACAATAAATCAATCAGAAGAATCAAAAATTGACACGTAATAATGAAGCGATTTTATGAGTGCGAGATTCTTAAGGGCTTCTGTCATAATGGTAAAATACGAAACTGACATAGTATCGGGATAGCGAACAGTGGTATCTTGATCGTGAGTCGTAGTCTGAGGGACATCGCTCAAGTTGACTAAACTATTTACGTTTGGTGATTCGTTGCCACTATTAACTATGTGATTGTGACCTATAGACACATTTCTTACGACCGATTCAGCAACATTTCCTGATAATTATGTTGTAACTCTACGACACTATTATTAAACTGATCGACAGCTTTGAGTCTTACTAAAATGTTATTCAAATTATCATTTAATGAA